TCAATTATTTTCTTTTCCAATATACATAACCAAGAATTGAGCTCTTGGAATTAAACGAATTGAACAATAATGGAAGAATTATATAATAAAAATGAGCCAATTAAAAGAAACTAAAAATGTACATTGAAATACCGAATGTAAATGGAAAAGCAACGTAATTCTTGAAAACATGTACTAGGCACGATATAGACACTTATAAATCTGTTTGAGTCTTAAATTTTATGGAATGTTTTCTATAAGTGTGTTTTTATAGGTAAAAATTACGATGAGAATAAAATTTGAATGTAGAATTTTATACATATTACACAATTCTTTGCTATTAAGTTAATTATAGTAATTTTTATATAAGTATTTCAACATATAATGAATGGTCACTAGAAAATTTAACGACTATTCAAGTCTAGAACACTAGTCAAATTTCACCCTTTTTATGTGAGAAAGCATCTATATATTAGGACTAACCTTTTAACACAAATATCTTATTTTTATGTTTCAATTTCTCAAATAGTGTCACATTATTAATGATTTTAGTAAGTCAGGAATTAGTCATTATTATCATAATTGTTGTACGATTTTTGAAATTGGTATCTTATTAATAGAGTACCTTGATTTTTAGTTGAGTTATCAAGTGGGATAAAATATTCATTGGTTATAATTTGAATATATCTTAACTCAATATTTTATGAACATGATATTCAATAAACACACATTTCATAAACATATAATCGAATAAATACTTAAATACTAAAATACCTAGAAAAACACACTAGTCAACCTAATACCTAAATAGTATACTAATCCAAAAATATCATGACAATACACTAGTTGACAAAAAACATAAGCAAAACATTAGTCGAAAAATAAAAGGATAATACACTAGTCGAAAAAATCCCAATATAGTACACGATATATAAAACTTATTTACATGTTTTCAACTTAAATATGGTCAAACATACAAATTTAATATATTTGTGTCATTTATTTTTTTAAATCATAACATTGATATGAAATATTTAATGATATGAAATATTTTTTGCAATTTACATATTATAAATAATTGTAATTATCTTTTTATTCGATCTACCAGAGATTTTCATTTCTTCAATCTTCATATTTTGATTCTCACCTTAAACCTTTATAGTGTGTTTGGATGGAGAATTTAAATGGAGTAATTCATTTATTTGAAGAATTTTAAATTCTTTGAGGTGAAATACCTTGTTTGGATGAAGAATTTATAAGAAATTTGAAATTCAAGTATTTGTGAAATTCCTTGAAATAGTAGAATTTCAAATTCTCCCAAAAGAGTAAGAATTTGAAATTCCTCATACTTTTTTTTTCTTATTTCACTTATATATTTTATCTTATCTCTTATCTCTTCATGTTTTTAATTATTGAATATTCAAAAATATATTTAAAATTATTAAATATTATCTAATATTAATTTTTAAAATTATTAAATATTTAAAAATTAGCTAATATTTATTTTTTAAAAATTTAATTTAAAAATCTCAACATATAAATATATTTTTAAGATCAATTTTATCATATGATAGAATCAAATTATTATATCCAACCTAACAATTTAAAATTTGAGAAATTTAAATTGATTTATCCAAACAAAATCTTTTAAGAATGATAGAAATTGAAATCAAAGTTCAAATACCAAGAATTTAAAATTTCTTGAATTTGTAAAATTCTTCATCCAAACACACTATTAATTACTTTGATGAATCATTCAATTAAATTTCAAACTTTAGTTCAAAGTAAATTCTTCAAGTAATCTAATCCATTCCATAAAAAAATGTTTTCTAACAGTTAAGAAATTTTACACAATAACAGTGTTAGATAATGGAAAGGAAACCTACAGGATTTGAATTATTGAGGTTTGGGGAGCACTGAGGAGGAGGGGATGAAGAAAATGTTTATTGACTTGGGAATCACGGAACACGTTTTGTTGACCAAAACGAATAGTTTAATTTTCTTTCTGAGAGTTCCTTCATGAATCATGGTCTGGTCTTGTATTCTCGATCGAAACTGCTTTGAAATGAATGTTTTGTTGTTTCATCCGTTTGTAAACGGTCAAACATTTCGGGATATTTGGCCCTACATAATGTGTTCAATTATACATTTGTTGACCATAGAAAATTGATTAGATGCTTCCAATAATCTATGTACGAGAAAGAAAAAATTTCTAAAACTGAACATGTATCCAAAATAGTTAGCTAACTTTTCCTTTTCTACTATTACTTTAATTTTAATCGACCCTTATGATCATTTATTGCAAATATATATATATGTAGGAATTTTTTTTTATCAAGAGAATTTGTAGAAATTTTTTAACTTTTAATCTAATTTAATTTGTATTTATAAATTAAATATTAATATTTTAAAATAATTTATCAATAAATAATTTTTTTTATTACGATACAAATCATTTATCATAAATCTAAAATATATTTTACATATTTAATAAAATTTATGCATACTAATTTTAAATATAATTTATATATTTAAATATAATATTTATTTATATAATTTATTATAAATTTTAATCATATATATATATATATAGTAAACATGTAAAAAATAATTTAAAAACTTAACGGGCTTTCTTAGAAAGCACATCAAAACTTTGACACTTTTGCAATAAAATCAAAATGATACTTTACTACAACTTTATATATTAAAAAATTACAACTTTATATATCAGAAAAATTATGAGAACTTATTGAACATTTTTCTTATCTAAAGTTGTTTTCATATTTGTATTAGTACTTTTTTTAATTCTCAATTTAGGATGAAGAAAGTTAAATTATTTATATAAATAAATATTAAATAAATAAATAAAACTTACCATACTTGTATTTTAAAAACAAATTTATTTATCATCCGAATAAAATAAAAATTTTAAATTAATTTAAAAGTATTATTATTTGGCTTAATTGTATTTTCTCCAAATTTGGAGTTGTTCGAGTGTTAGAGATCATTGCCGAAGAATCCTTAGCGATACAGTGTTAAAAGAACTCGATAGCAGTCCTGGCCTAAAATATTTGATGAGAGTAACCTATCCTTCTAAACCTAATCGTTCTTCCATATAGTGGCGTAGCGCTACAACCATGAATCTTACACTCCTTCTTGTGATCCATTAAATCACGTCTCATTATGGACTCGTAAATCTTGATGTTTATGACCATTATATTGCCCATCTCACGAAATGTTATTGATTGTCTAAGTGGGCGAATAAATAACCCTATATTTGAGTCTCCACACGTATAATTCGAACCTTGTCAGTATACAACACTTGTTCCTTATCCAAGAGATCTTGTCGGTAGACTCAGCATTTTGCTAATGTGCCTCAGGTTGGGCAACGGGAGACCACCTTGGTACCAAGCCTGAAGACCACCTCGATACCAAACCCTTTAGGCTTGAGCATTGTGGAACGATGAGCATATCAGATCTACATTTTGTCGACATGCCTTGTGTCCGTTCATGGGAGACTACCATGATACATAACCCTTCATGCTCAAATACTAATGTGCGAAGAGTATGTCGGATCGATATTTTGTTAGTCCATGGGAGACTACCACGATACATAACCCTCCATGCTCGAGCACTAATGTGTAAAGAGTATGTTGAATCAGCATTTTGCCGACGTGATTTAGATCAGTCCATGGGAAACCACCATGGTACATAGCCCTCCATGCTCGAGCACTAAGGTGCAAAGAGTGTGTTAGACCGGCATTTTCCTAACGTGCCTTGGGTTGGTCCATGAGAGACCACCACGATACATAGTCTTCCATGCTAAAGCACTAAGGTGCGAAGAGTATGTTGGATCAGCATTTTACCGACGTGCTTTGGGTCGGTCCATGGGAGACCACCACGGTACATAGTCCTCCATACTCAAGCACTAAGGTGTAAAGAGTATGTTGGATCGACATTTTGCCAACGTGCCTTGGGTTGGTCCATAGGAGACCACCACGATACAGGAGTACATGTTTTTTTCGTCCTCAAAATTTAAAATTTGTATTTCTAATCTTGTAAAATATAATTTTTTAAAATTATTTTGATCTCTTAAATTTAAGATTTATCTTTTTACCTCATGTAATTTCAAAAATATTATTTTAATTTTTGTATATATTTTTTTTATTTTTTAAATTTAAAACATATTTTTAGTCCTTAATATATATATATATAAAAACTATGTTGTTAGTGATCAAGAGGAATCAACACTAATTTTTTTAAAATTAATTGCACCAAATTCAAAGAAAATATAATGTGCCAGTCAAATATGAAAAACCAATGGTGAACAAGGGATCTATTTGCTCCAAAAGTAAATCTATCTAGACTTATTATATTCAATAACTTATGTTTTACATTAAATTTTAATAATTTAGTCAATAAATTAATTTTTCTTAATATATAGATTAAGTATGCAAATTTTTAAAAATTTTAAAAATTATTTAATATTTTATTTCATTAATTTAAATCATCGTATAAAATGTTGTTATGATTATTTTTTAATTGAATTAATTAAATGGAATAACAAATAATTTTTAATTATTTTAAAAGTTTATAAACTTGATCTATATATTAAAAATGTATAATTTAATAATTAGATCATTAAAATTTGATGTAGATAATAAATTATTAAATAGAGTCGAAATAAATGAATATCTTCTCACATATATTATATTATATATAATTAATTTCTTACATGTTTTTGAACAAGTAACCATGTGTATATAAAAAAAAGTACGAAAAAGTTATTTGAAAATGATGAAATAAAATAATAAATGTTAGTGTCTCTCATAAAAATTTTAGTTAAATATTTGATGGGAAATTAATCTCTTTTACTAAATCAAAATTTTATGGATAAAGAAAGTAAAAAATAATTTGGTAACAAGCGTTTATGAACATTAAATTAAGAAAATAAAATTGAAAAGTTTTGTTAAAAACACAAAATAGTGTAGTTAGTGTAAGATAATAGTGTTTGATGAAACGCGGAAGAGAATACGAAGAAGTCAAGAAAGAAGAAAAAAATAGTTTATTATTGAGCGGGGAAAAGAAAAGGGCTGCTGACTGCAATGCAAAGAAGATGCTATTGGTTGATGGGATGGGGAATGGGAAATTGAAATTTTGGAATTAGGAGGTCGTTAACTTGTTATCATCTCAGTCACTGACCGACCGAGTTTTTTTCTTTTGTTTTCGCATCGAATCGCATCGCAGACGCAGAGAGAGAGAGAGAGAGTGAGAGAATTGAATTGCAATTGCATAGATGAAGAGGTCTCTGAGAAAGTTGGGAGTTCTGGCAGTAGACAAGCATGACCATAACATTCTGCCTTTGTCCCAGTTAGAGGACCTCGCTCAGGCTACCCAGGTACACTAGGTTTTTTTTTTTTTTTTTTTTTTTTTTTTTTTTTATTAACCATCAAATTCATATTCAAAATGCCCTGCAGGACATGCAAGACATGAAAGACTGCTACGAAAGCTTGTTTTCCGCTGCAGCAGAGGCCGCCAACAGTGCTTATGGTGTGCTGCCTCTACTATTCCTATTTCTATTTCCATAATAATAATAATAATAATAATAATAATAATAATCAAAATTATCTAAACTTACAGAATTCTCAGAGTCCTTGGGAGAATTGGGCTCTTGTCTTCTTCAGAAAACCGCCTTGCATGACGATGAAGAAAGCGGTACCTACTCTACACTTCCCTCTCACACTCACTCTTTCTCTTCCTTCCTGATACCTAATTCCAAACTCATGCAGGCAAAGTTCTCATAATGCTCGGTAAAATGCAGTTTCAGCTCCAGAAGCTCATTGATAACTATGTCAGTACTCCTCCTAACTATAACAATTCCTTAATCTCTCTTCTTTTCTAACCCCTTTTTTTTTTCCTTTGCAATTTCAGCGCTCTCATATCACCCAGACAATTACCATTCCCTCAGACTCTCTTCTCAATGAACTTCGAATTGTCGAGGTTTCTTCCATCAAACCCTTCTATTGTTATCTCTCTAACATCATGCCCCATCAATATATTTATTGCAATGCTTCTATTTCATCCAAACAGGATTGCTATTGTGTTTGTTGAATCTACCACATCCCTATTCTTTTTTGCCTATGAACTTCTATTATTGTCTCTATTGATTTTGTTTTTCTTCATGCCCAAGCAGGAGATGAAGCAACATTGTGACGACAAAAGGTTTGGAGTGTTAATTGGATTTACTTTTGTCTTTGAATGTGTATCGTGCCTTATCATTTTGGTGTATAATCTGCAGAGAAGTATACGAGTCCATGTTAACGAGATATAGAGAAAGAGGTAGGTCTAGAAGTGGAAAAGCAGAGAGTGTTTCGTTGCAGCAGTTGCGAATTGCTCGAGATGAATATGATGAGGAGGCTACATTATTTGTTTTCCGCTTGAAATCTCTGAGACAAGGACAATCGTGGAGCCTTCTAACACAGGCAGCACGTCATCATGCAGCTCAGGTTTTGCTTACTCCCAATATCTCTTTTTCAGATCTGGGAGAGCTATGGAAATTTTAATGTTTATTTTCGTTGTCAACACTCTTCTTTGTCCCCAAAAACAGTTGTGTTTCTTTAAGAAAGCAGTTAAATCTCTTGAGACAGTAGAGCCACATGTAAAATCTGTAACACAACAGCATCACATTGATTACCACTTCATTGGTATTGAAGGAGAGGAGGAAGATGAAGATGATGATGATGATGACAGCCTTGATGAGAACGATGATGGGGAGCTGAGTTTTGATTATGCACCAAATGAACACGAGCAAGATGTTTCTTCTACCTTAGAGAAATCAATGAAGGTGACTAACATCTGCATCTACAAATTTATAATCTTTTGTTTTCCTCCTTTTGCATATTTCAATCTCACTGATAAATGGACATTATGAAGATTAAGTAGCCTCCCAACAAACCAGCATCAATATGAGCTGGCCATTAATTGAGTACACACAGGGAAGTTGTGTAGATTGAGAGACAGAGACGTAAGGTTAGAGTGAAAGACTGAAAGAGAAGGATAAAGAAGTTTTTCTGTTATTGTGATCCAAATAATCAAGGAGAGTATTCTCCTCCAAGGGCTTTCCCTTTACACCAAAGCAAAGTGCTCAATTCAGATTGTTTTCCCCAAAAGCTACTTCCCCTTTATAATACAATTTGTTATTTAATGGCTGGCTAAGTAGCCTTCCTATCCACCTAGCATCCCACCTAAACCTCTAACCTCCTTTTCTATTTCCTTCTAGTATACACTGTCCATACCACCCCCCCACCCCTTTTAGTTTCATTCCTAACAACAGATGCGGTTTTAAATCCTAACATGCTAAAGAAAAATGAGTAAAACGAAAATCAGGGGGGCCATTGTTATGTATTGTTGTGTAGGACCAAAATCTGTTAGAATCAGAGTTTGTAGATAGAGTAATCAAGGGCTTGTGCACAGGAACTTCAAATCCATAATATTTGTTTTCAAATGTGATTTATTTAATTCTATGGAAGTGGTACTCTAAACTTATTGTACTACCGAAACACTTATCGTTGTTAATATTTTGGATCAGATCCATATTTTAGGTTTTAATTTTTATCTATAAAGCACTTACATTGGCCTAATTACTCTCATTTTGGCATGTTGAGTCGTGCATGCTTTTCTGCAGTTGGACCTGGTGGAACTTGCATTTCCCAAAGGTTCAACTGTAAATGCTTGAAGGTAAGAGAAAACAAAAGCATCGGTTGTTGGGATTTAGGACTGGAAATAGTTCACATTTTGATATAATACTCCTCATGTGGAAGCTTCTTGATGCATTTGGAAATGAGATTATTTAATGTTCTTCTAATGTAAAATTTTTGAACTCTTATGAATATGCATGATGAATATATATATATATATATATACACATATATATAATTATATTTTTTATGTAGGAAAACTTTGATAGGCTTCGCAGGAATTCATTCTCCTTCAGGGCTAGGTCAGTGAGCCAATCTGCCCCACTTTTTGCTGACAAAAAACCTGATTCTATCGAAAATCTGAGACATATGCGGCCAACATTATCACGGAAGATCAATTCATACGTGCTGCCTACACCAGTTGATGCAAAGAGTACAACATCTTCGAGGTCAATTAATCAAGTAACTTCCAAACTAAAGACAAATTTAAATGAGCCTATGAAGAATTTGTGGCATTCATCCCCACTGGAACAAAAGAAATATGAAAACAATTTTGGAGATGGGGGACTTTCTGGTCCTAATGTTAGGAATGCACAGTCTGTACTCAAGGAGAGCAACAGTAATACTGCATACACAAGATTTCCACCTCCTTTAATTGATGGTAATTCATCCTCAAATTGTGGTTTTGTTGCCGCTTATTCCAAAAAGATTAAAAGACATGCCTTTTCTGGTCCATTGGTTAGTAATGCATGGCCAACCAAGCCTGTCTCGGTAGAAAGTGTCCAATTGTTTTCTGGACCTCTTTTAGGGACCCCAAATCTTCAGCCTCCATTGTCGTCTCCAAAAGTATCTCCTAGTGCTTCTCCCCCTCTTTCATCTTCACCTAAAATAAACGAGCTTCATGAACTTCCAAGGCCTCCAACCAGTTCGCCATCCAATTCAAAGTTTGTAGGTTTGGTTGGACATTCAGGTCCATTGGTTTCCAGAGGTAAACAGCTTTCTGCTCCAAATAATTTGGTTGCGTCAAATGCAGCATCTCCATTGCCAATGCCTCCTCCATCCATGGCTAGAAGTTTCTCCATACCTTCTAGTGGTGCTAAAGTTGCAGCATTACATGGATCAAGACCACTAGAAGACCCTAATAGATCAACAATATCCGAAGATATTGCATCATCAGATGGCTCTGAGACTGTTGCTCATGCTGTCTAGTCTGGAGGTAATAATATTTAAAATAGGATACTTTTGTTTAATTTTCATTTATTTTTTGTTTTCATGGTTTAATTAGGTATTTGTTATAAATTATTAAATATAATTTAAGTTTCATTTATAAATGGAAAATCCTTCTTATTACCCGGTTTCAAGTGAGAAAATTGGATATGTGGGTTAACTCTCAGTCCTATAATATTAAGTTCTTGGAATGCCCTGTTGGGATGGAGGATAATGTTTATTAAGTTCTATCATTCGACACCTCTATACAAATAAATTCTAGAAATGTGCATGGGCACTGAATGTATTCACATTGCAAGCACGGGATCTTTAAGCTATGTTTGAATTGGTAGAAAGGATTGAAATTAAATGCCATTAGTAACTATTTTTAATTGGAGGGTATGTAATCCAAAATTATATTGCTATTGAAAGATGATTTTATTTAAAAATTTCTGTATTATTGTACTTGGTACCAATAATCCTCTAAGAAAACAATGGTTTAACACAGACTTGAATATTTATTTTCTGCTTTCAGGTATGTACATGCGTATATTAATAATATCCAATGGCCTTCATTAAAAAAAAAAAAGTCCAATGGCTCACATGTGGCACTTACGCAGATTAATTGCTTTCGAGTATGAAGATAAGCTCTATTCAACATCGCAAGGGTCAAGTTTTGTTTCTCATAGTTTGGTACAGTTGCAAATCTGTAAATATTCCTTTTATAATTCTTTTATACGTCGTTAATATTGTTAATTCGCTCATAAATGGGAGCGTGTATTTTATTTTATTGAAATAAATGCGCATGTATTGCGTTGTTGAATTATGCATCTAAGCAGAGATTTAGCTCCTTAAAGTGAAATTTAGAGTGAAAAGTGATATAAATCTTTCTACAACATCGTCTCAATAATTTCTTAATTGCTAAATGATGAAAGTATTAATTTTTTTAATATATTTTCAAGATTTAAATATAATTATGCTTTCATCCAAATACTTTTTTTTTTAATAGAATAGAAAGATAATAAGATGTTGTAGGAGGAATGGAGGAGGTAGTATTATTTATGATAAGAAAATCTATAAAATAGATATTACCATGAACTTTGTCATCAATAGTTAAAATTTTTCACTTTAAGGAATCCAAATATAGCAATTTGCAGTAACTAATAAATGATCATTTCTGGGAACAACTCAAAAGTCGTAACAAATCTTCCGGAGCTCAATTTATTTGTTTTAAAATTCAAAGGATTTCATGCAACAATTTACAAGTATCAATTTCCTGGTCTTTTGTATTGTTTTCTTCATAATATAATTGTACGGGTTGGCACCCCCGTTGACTCGGTCAAAGGCAGAATACGACAAGAGCCGAACACCATTTCGGCTATTGGCCAAGCCGGGTACCCCTTCGGCCAGGAACCAAACCGGATACCCCCCCTAGGCCCAATCACAAGCAGTCACTACAAAAGCTGAACACCATCTCGGCCATGGACCAAGCTGGGTACCCCTTCGGCCAGGAACCAAAAACCGAATACTCCCTGCGGCCGTAGATCGAACCGAACACCCCCTCGGCCCCAGATCAGGCCGAGTACCTTTTCGGCCTGGCCCCGTCGGCTTCAGACTTGACCGAAGGACTTGACTTAAGGGGAATTCACTGAAAACACTGGCAAATTAAACACCTGTTATACAACAAGCATCAACCTTGATTAAGGGGAGCTTAAGGTCAATTAAAATATTACCCATCTCCCAAGACAGAAGGCCCACCAGGCCCAAACATGTCACTATAAATACACAGGTGATGGGACATAAATGAGGTATGATTTATTCCATATAAAAACACTTATTGCTCTATACCGAATACTTACTTGATCGTCGGAGTGCCTTTGCAGGTACCCTCTCCACCCCTCAGAAACAGCATCCGGTCGGTACCGAAGACCCAGAGGATCAAGAACTTAGAAGATTAAGAAGACATAAGAGACCAAGAAGAAAGGACGGTAAGAGGAGTGTTCCTACGCAGGAACAATAATAGTCTTGTATTGCAAAAAATTGCGTTCTCTTTACAAAAAAGTCATCCCAAACTGTTCGTACCTTCATAGTTCTAGTGAAGGAGAAAATATCGTTGATATAACTTCAGTTGCTTGCGGTAATGGTATAAAATTAGTCTATACTTGAATTAATTAGTACCTTCAATTTTTATTTTATTTTTCTGCAACTTTCTTTCGTCTCTTTGTAGCCTGTCACAGTGTCACATGACGTTCAGGTATAAAAATGAAAATGTAGGGATAAAATAAAAATTAAAAAAATATTTTAAAATTTCCTTTCTTCAACCTGTTTTTTCTCCTCTCTCTCTCTCTCTCTTTTATCTCAATTGTCCACATGCTCTGAGAAGTCCTAGAAAATGTTTCTCATGATCTTGAAGAATCAGGAAGATTTTGGGGTTTATAAAAATGTTAGCTCTTGTAAATTGAAACATAATGTCATGTAAATGCAAAATATGACATTGATAACAATGCATTGAGATTATTTGAAAGGTTGTTAGAAAAAAAATGTTACGGCTTGGTCTAATTTAATTGTTGGTTGAGCTAGATTTGATTTAGGTACATTAATATTTTTTTTAGTAATGAAAAATTTATATTAGAGAAAGACATGACCATACATTAACTTTTTTTCTCTTACATAAATGGTTTGTTTGGATCTTAAGAATGAAACAAAACAGAGACTAAAAGAAAGTGAAAGAAAGTGAAAGAAATTACAATAATATGTATATGTTGTTATGATATGGAGATTGACACTGAATAGAGGAAGAGAGAAAATGAAAGAAAGTGAAAAATGTAGCTAAGGAAAAGAAAGAGTGAAGAAGAAGAAGAAACATGTTGAAGAAATACAAAGCTAAAATATATTATTTTTCATTTTTCATTTTGATTCTTACTAACAACACACCATGTGGAGGTGAAAGAGAGAAGAAAAACTGAAATTAAAAATATATTTTTAAAATTTTCATTTTGATTTCCACTTATGTGGACACAAGAAGAAATAGGAGAATTTTTTTTTAAAAAAAATAGAACTTGATTGGTTTCGCTGTTTTCTGTTTCCATTTTAAGAAGAAAAAAAAAAGAAAAATAAGTTTGAAAATATATTTACTTTTAATTTTAAGAAATATTTTCAATGAAAACATTTTCAAAATAAGCTCATCTTTGAAAACAGAAAAATGATGTTTTGAATTGAAAACATGGTGGCATGATAGTAAATGTTAGAATTTTTTTACTTCTTTTCCAAGCTGCACACAGTTCAATGAACTTGTTTTTATTTTTTTTACACAATACTCAATTAATCACGTGTTTTATAAATATATATATTTTTTATTTCAGGCACGTCTAATATATTAATATTTTATAATTTATTTGATATAATTATTTTATAAAATTTTAATTACATTAGTTATATATATGTGTGTGCGCGTACGTGTGTATGTGTGTGTAATGAGTGATTTATTGGTTTCAATAATAAGTTTACTTAGATTTATTTCATTCAATAACTCATTTTTACATCAAATTTTAACGATCCAACTATTGACTTTAAAGTTTTTAATACATAGATTAAGTTTTTTTGAAAATATTTGATACTTCATTTCATTAATTCATATCAACGTATAAAATAATTTTATAATTATCCGTCAATTTAAATTAATAAAGTACATCAACTGAACTTCCTTGATCAATTAAGGTTTTGTGCACCTCTCAATTGGCCAATTCCACTACGACCACCATTGGATTATCTTGGTTCGGGTTGATGCCAAGGTAGTCCTCGTTGGTGAACATGATCGACAATGTGGTTTGGATGGGGGCGATTAACATGGAGCTGACGTTGTTAATGTTTCACAGGTGTCTTTTTCGGGCCAAGTTGGTCATTCCCCCTCCTGTGAATCCTCTCGGAATAGTGTTAATTACCTCACGGAGATAGGCACATTCTCTGTCTTGCTCACCTATTTGTAGTTTCGTGTTACTCGTACTTGATGAGCACTTGAGGGTTAGTCTATCTGACTTTGCGGGCCTCTTCCCTACCTGCGACCTTGACCTTGGCTTTGATAATTGCCTCGATGTGGCTGAGATCGCTAGATGTAATGGACGAGTTGCCCTGTCTGGATCAATTCTTCTATTCGATCTTTTAGCCTCCAACATTCTTTTATTGTATGATCATAATTTTTGTGATAACAATAGTGTTTGGACTTATTGGCATTGTTGAAATTGTGTCTTTGTGGGTTTGTTGGTTTTATTTTGGGTAATGTTAATATGATTGTGTTGTGTGCTACTATGTTTGAAAGTAATGAAAGTAGGAAGAAAAAAATTGGGAAAAAGAAAAACACTTATTACGTTTTTTTTTTGTTTGATTAAAAAAAGTGAAAAAAGAACCAGAAAAGAGCTGATTTCCAGATACAAGAATTTAAAATTTGTTTTCTTTTCTGTTTATCTTGAATTTAAATTCAAATTCTTTTCTTTCCAATCAACCGACACCGTGTTAGCAGGACCAAGATGTTGGCTAGTGAGTAGTGATAGTACACCAAAAGAAAAGTAAAGAAACGTTGGGTAGTGATTGGCAAGATTTTCCAAGTGGGATGAGTCCTTTGCAAAACTGGCTGCTGGCTCCGTGTTGGAAGGAAGATTTATGACTTATATGAGGCCATGAAAGATGAAGATGCAACGCATGCTGGCTTGCGCGATTAATTACTATTTTGCCATTAGTTATTGAATTTAAAAGAAAAAAAAATGAAAAGTGGGTCATAGTCGCAGTTAGCGAGTGAGAGTCATGAGAGTGAAGAAGCTCCGGTGACTAACTACCGAGTAAAGAGACATTAATTTGGAGAGATGGAACGGAAGTGGAGCAGTGAATCTGGAACTGGGAATGTGATGTCGTCACAGTCACAGTCACGTAACGGGCATTCTCGTTCGTCCTCCCTCACCCTCACCGGAATCTCAAGCGTCAAAAGGACTCAGAATGTTGCTGCGAAAGCCGCAGCTCAGCGCCTCGCCCAGGTGATGGCTTCTCAGAGTGCGGGGGAGGAGGAGGAGGAGGAGGAAGACGATCTAGGATTTCGCTACACTGCTCCTCCGCCTCTCTCTTTTTCTAGGAACTCTCATAGATCTCCGTCTCCTGCGTCTACGGTAACCCTCTTTCTCTTCCTCTCCACTCGTATCCATAATTAACCAACTCTAACTAACTTGATTCACCTCCTTACGTTACTTAATTAGTTTGCTCCTGCTCGGACAGAAGAATCAATGTATCTTCGTCCAGCACCACCTGCCACTAATAATAGACCACCGCTAAGCCTCAGGACTCAAGCTCCTCCTCCGTCCATAGACCCTCCCATCAAGCCCAAAGATAACAACAAAAGGTAATTTCTCATACCGCTATCAATATCAATATTAACTAATAGATCTGTAACAATGCATTCATTATCTGCTCATTCTTATACAGATTTCCGTTTCATACTGGACTCCTTCCACCAAAAGATTCAGGAGACGCTTCTGGACTTCGTGATCAGGTTAATTACTTTCTTCCGCCTTTTCATCTTTCTATCAATAATAATTTGTTAATATAATTTACCTCTACCTGCAGGTTGATATGTTGCAGGAAGAGAATGAAACTATTCTAGACAAGGTACTACCATCTACGTTGTTTCTTCCACTTCTCAATCAGCTTACATCATTTTCAACTATTCTAAAATGCAGCTCAGACTCGAGGAAGAGAGATGCAAGGAATCAGAGGCCAGAGTTAGGGAGCTAGAGAAGCAGGTCCAGTTCAGGCTTTATTTATTATCATATTTACTATGCTGTGCTAGGAGAATGTGGCGTTTGCCCCAATGGTCACTTCCTTACCATTAGGCTAGGTGTTTGGATCCTATCTCATTATACCTTAGGTAACCAAAAATTAAAAGAACAAACATACTTAAAGAGTTTCTCTCTAATTAACAGAACTTTCCTTTTTTTTTTTAATTTGATATTTATGTTTATACTTTATATATGTATGTGCCTGTGCAATTTCTGTCAAGTCTGCATGTGCAGTTTTTAATCTTTTATCTCTGACGTTGTAGGTTGCTTCCCTTGGAGAAGGTGTATCTTTGGAAGCCAAACTCTTGAGCAGGTGAGTGAAATGAAATCAAAACTGTTGCATATGGGTTTTCCTTCACTTAGTATTGCATATGACATCTCCATATTACTGAATTGCAGAAAGGAAGCAGCATTGCGTCAAAGAGAGGTAATGTGGAGAAAACTTTAACTATAGAGCTGTATTTTATACAAACTGTGAACGGAGTTAATTTTTATCAATGGAGATATTGTTTAGGTAAATTGTAGGATGTTCCATTTCTTGCTTAATCCCCTTGTGAGAAACTGCCTTCAGTACAGCTTTAAATTTCACAGGCTGCGCTTAAAAATGCCAAAGACTCTAAGGATGGAGTTGATAAAGAAATCACATCTCTACATGCTGAAATTGAGGTGAATAATGAATATGCTGTGTTTTTAACATTCTCAACACAAGCTTCCATGTATGTTTAATTATTTTCTCTGAATTAGAATGCAAAAGTTGAAACTGAGGCTGCAGTGAGACAGCTAAATGGAGCTGAATCTGAAGTAAAAGCTCTTCGGTCAATGACTCAAAGAATGATATTAACTCAAAAAGAAATGGTATTTACTTCCACAGTTGCAGGAGTCCATTTTTATTTGTCACTTGTTTGAAAAAGTTATTATATAATTTTTTTTCTTGCCAGGAAGAAGTTGTTCTAAAGAGGTGTTGGCTTGCCCGTTATTGGGGTTTAGCTGCAAAATATGGTAAGCCACTGTGTTTTAACTTCTTTTTCCCTTTTGTTTTGGGAGTGAGAGTAACATTATTGCATCTCTTCTTGACATGACTAATGAGTTCTTTCAATATCAATTGGTTTTGTATGTCAAATTGTCAATCATTTTTTACAGAACCCGAATAAACTTTTAGAGCTGTTTATTATATTGTTTTCACCATTTATGCATGTTAGTATTATTGTTACTTGAATATGAATAATTTTTTATTATTCTGAATTGATGGGTACGATCAAATAAATAGACATGTAATAGAAACAATCCCTAAAGTTTTGGGATTAAAATAAACTATAAATCAGGAGAAGATAAACTAATATATCTAAACTATATCTTATCATAATAATATCATAGAATATCTTAACACTCCCCCTCAAGCTGGAGCATATATATCATATGCATCTAGCTTGTTACATATATATGTTATCCTAGAACCTCGTAAAGATTTAGTAAAGATATCTGCAAGTTGATCCTTGGAGCAAACTGAGGAGGTCTTGATGATACCGTAGAGGATCTTTTCTTTGATGAAATGGCAGTCAACCTCTATATGCTTTGTTCTCTCATGAAAAAATGGATTAGAGGATAGGTATAAAGCTGACTGGTTATCACAAACTAGTTCCATATGACCAACCTTGCAAAACTGCAACTCTTGAATTAAGAATTTTAGCCACAGGAGCTCACATGTGGTGTGAGCCATAGCACGGTATGCTGCTTCTGTACTTGATCGTGCAACAACACTTTGCTTTTTACTCTTCCATGAGACAAGATTACCACCCATGAAGACACAATAGCTTGATGTTGACCGTCTATCACTTACATCACCTGCTCAATTTGCATCTGAGTATCCAACAATGTTTATATGTCCTCTATCATTGTAAACAAGTCCCATTCCTGGTAATCTTTTGATGTATCTAAGGATCGGAACAACTGCATGCCAATGACTCTCATAGGGAGAGTTAAGAAACTGACTTACAACACTGACAGGAAAGGATATATTAGGTCTGGTCATGGTGAGATAATTCAATTTCCCACTAATCTCCGATATTTCCTAGGTCAGGATAAGGCTCCCCTTGATTAGGCATAAGCTTCTCATTGGGATCCATGGGAGTGTTAACTGACTTACAATCTGTAAGTCCGGTCTCCTCTAGAATATCAATGACATATTTTCTCTGAGAAATAGCAATACCAGACTTTGACTGAGCGACCTCAATCCCAAGGAAATAACGCAGGGGACCTAAATCTTTAGTTTGAAAGTGTTTTAATAAGTGTTGCTTCAGAGCATTGATGCCCTCCTGATCATCACTTGTAATTACAATATCATCTACATAAACAACAAGATAAACAAATCTATGTGTCAGTGAGCGTCTAAAGAAGACAGAGTGATCTGCCTCGCTGTGGATCATTCCAAATTCCTGTATAACTTTGCTAAACTGACCAAACCAAGCACGAAGTGATTGTTTGAGGTCATACAAACTTCTATAATTTACACGCAAGACCAGACCCCCCTTGAGCAACAAACTCGGGAGGTTGCTCCATATAAATCTCTTCCTCCAAATCACCATATAAGAAGACATTCTTGATGTCTAATTGAAACAAAGGCCAATGCCTCATAGCAGCCATGGCTAATAAGAGACGAACTGAGGCCATCTTCGCAATTGGAGAAAAAGTGTCATTGTAATCTAAACGATATACTTGCGTGTATCCTTTAGCTACAAGACGGGCTTTCAATTTATCCACCTGTCCATTAGGGACCACTTTAACATTAAAGACCCACCGACAACCAACAACAGATTTTTCAGGCGGAGGTGAGACAAGTACCCAAGTGTGGTTAGAGTCTAAAGTTGTCGTCTCATCAATCATTGCTTGTCGCCATCCTGGATGGGTTAATGCCTTTTGCACTGTCTTGGGAATGGTAACAGAGGAAATAACAAAGACAAAAGCATAATAGGTAGGAGACAAACGATGATATGAAAGAAAGTTATAAATAGGATGAGGATTACAAGTAGAACGGCTACCTTTATGAAGAGTAATGAGCAAGTCAACTGAGGTAGGTAGGGCCGAAGTAGGTGAGGAGGTCAGAGCAGGAACAACAATATGTGATCGACGCTCATAGGTTATCCCAAATTGGTGTAGAGGACTGCCAAACCTTGGTGGTGTGGGAGGAATCTCTGGTGTCTCTAAAGTAGCAGGTGTAGGAGGCACACCAGGATCAAAATGAGGAGTAGGCAATACTTGAGAAAGGAGATCTAAGTCAATTGGAGAGACATTTGTAGCAATGAAATATGGTGCATTTTTAAAGAAAGTGATATCTGCACTGGTGTAAAACCTATGCGTAGCAGGGGAGTAACAACGGTACCCCTTTTGGACATGAGAGTATCCTAAGAACACACATTTGATAGCCCGAGCAGACAATTTAGCACGTCCTAAGAAAAGATCATGGACAAAACAAGTACAACCAAAGACACAAGAATGAACAGAATAAAGGAGATCCAATGGGTATAATAGGGAATAAGGTACTTGATCATTCAAGACAGAGGATGGCATTCGATTTATTAAATATCCTGCAATAAGTTCAACATCGCCCCACAACTTTTGGGGTGCATTGGCATTCAATAAAAGAGTACGAGCAATGTCCACAATATGTCTATGTTTTCGCTCAACTACACCATTTTGTTGAGGTGTATGAGGGCAACTAGATTGATGTACAATGCCATGGGAAGTCATAAATGATTTGAAGCAATCTGAAAACTATTCTTTAGCATTGTCACTTCATAAAATCCGAATTACTTTGCCAAATTGAGTTTTGATCTCTGAATAAAAACTTTGAAAAATATTGAATAAACTCAAAACGATTTTTCATTAAAATTATCCAAGTAAATCTAGAAAAATCATCAATAAAGGTGACGTAATACCTGTGTCCTAAAAGAGAAGGAACACGACTAGGACCCCAAACATTAGAATGAATGACATCAAAAGGAGACACAGCTCGATTATTAATACTATTAGGAAAAGAAGTTCTAACATGTTTCCCTAATTGACACGACTCACACTTTAAGGACTCCAATCGTGAGAGATAAGGTACCATTTTCTTTAATTTATTCAAGCTTGGATGACCCAGGCGACAATGGATTAAACTAGGAGACTCAACAGATGCACATATGGTAGAGGTAGAAGGCTTGAAGTAGTAGAGACCATGTGATTCAGATCCGGCTCCAATCGTTTGTCCCATACTCCGATCTTGTATCAAGAAAGAATCAGAAGTGAAGGTTATGACACAATTCAGTGACCGAGTCAACTTACTTATAGAAATCAAATTAAAGGGACATCCAGGAACTAGTAAGACAAATTTTAATGGTAGTGAAGGGATAGGTGATATTTGGCCAATACCAATGGCTTGGACTTTTGACCCATCTGCAAAAGTGATATGGTGTGGAGTTTTAGGTGATGATAGGCTAGGGAAAAGGGAGACATTACCAGTTAGGTGATCAGAAGCACCGGAGTCCAAAACCCAAGGTCCAATAGACATAGAATGAGAGAGACAAACTATAGAATTACCAGTGTGAGCAACAGTGACAGAGGAAGGGGCCTGTTGAGCTGCCTTCAGTTGAAGATACTCTTTGTAATCATCGGCAAATAATGAGATTGGATGATTGCCCTCAGATTCAATCTTGAGCTCGAGAGCTGAAGTCGGAGATTGAGCCACATTAGCTGTCTTGCTCGGAAAGCCATGCAAGGAATAACACCTGTCTCGTGTATGTCCATCTCTTTGACAGTAGGTACAATGGAGGTTTCCTCTACCCCCTGTACCACGACCACAACCTCGACTTCCACAGTCAGTTGTACTAGAGATAAAAGCAGAGGACTCAGATTTTGTGTGAGGATCTGCCTCCAATGAAGGGACCTGAATCAATCGATCTATGAGCTCTTCCACTGTAGGAATGACAGGATTTGTCAAAATTTGATCTTGAACAGATCCATAATCTATGTGAAGGCCTTGAAGGATAAACACCATAAACATATTATCAAGTTTGTTTAAATATTTGCTGAGGATCATCATTAACCAACATTAGCTTGAGCTCATCAATAGTGGATTGAGCACGATTCAAATACGTTGACAAATCATTATCAACCATATGAAGGGTTGTCAGACCGCGAATAGACTCATACAATCTCTGGATATCATTGGCATAGACATTTCAGGCCTTCTTCCAATTATCATAGCATATCTTGTATGGACGAAAATGCACCATTAATTTAGGCTCAATGGGCTGCCACAATAGAGATACAAGTTGATAATTTGCTCGCTTCCATTCATCTCTCACCTCTTTATCAACCTCGGACGCCTTCTTAGTAAGATGATCATAAAGACCCTGGGCTAAAAACCACATCTCAACAGCAGTAGACCAATCCAAATAGTTTTTACCGTACAGCTTTTTAGATGTAATAGTAGGTGATCCAGAAAAGGCAAAGGAGACCAACCCCCTTTTGGAGGATTCAATTTTTGGATTCGCTTTGGGAATCTCTGCCATGAAGAGAGAAAGGAGAAAAACAACAAAAGAAAAACTCAAAATCAAAAATCCTTTGAGGCAGCAACCAATCAACCACGGGACTCCAAGGTAGCAACCAATCAACCATGGAGCTCCGAGGTAGCAACCAAACGACCACGAAACTTCGAGGCAACAACCAAACAACCACGAAACTTCGAGGCAACAACCAAACAACCACGAAACTTCGAGACAACAACCAAACAACCACCAACAGACCACCTAGAGTGTGACCCACGACCTGAAAATGGTCAAAATGAGAAGAGGGAGGGTTGACAAGTCCAACGGAGTAACAAAGTCACAAACGGAGGCTTGGAGGGCGGCGTGTGAACCTCACGCGCCGGTGAGCTTCCTCAACAAAAATCGTGTGTGAGGGTGTGTGAGACACCAGCTGGAGGTGGCTTGCAACGGAGAGGCTGATTGACAACCTCTAAACACGCAGGTGGCATCAACTCTAGCAACCGCTGACAAAAGTCGAAAACCCTAGATGTTGGCAGCTGGATTAGGGTTCCTTGACCAGAATGCTCTGGTACCAACTTGAATATGAATAATTTCTTATTATTCTGAATTGATGGGTACAATTAAATAAATAGACATGTAACAGAAACAACCCCTAAAGTTTTGAGATTAAGATAAACTATAAATCAGGAGAAGATAAACTAATATATGTAAACTATATCTTATCATAATAATATCATAGAATATCTTAACATTGTTAAACTAATGAGTGATGATTACATATTGGGATTTTGCTGCAAAATAAACTAAGCCACAGTAGGTGGCAATTTAATCTTTCTTTTTTGCATCTCTTAGCAGCACTGGAATACATTACCAGAGCTTTTAAGTATCAGTTTTTTTTTTAAATTTTTGTATGATTGCATGCATGTAAAAATTATACTTTATATAATTTGGATCCAGTCAATTTGGATAAGTGAATAATTTTATGATTCACTTCTCTCTTCTATCTAGTGTAACTTTTTTCCTTGGTTTATAGGCATCTGTGCAGATGTTGCAATTTCCAAGTATGAGCTTTGGTCATCCTTAGCCCCTCTTCCATTTGAGGTCGTTGTTTCTGCTGGACAAAAGGCTAAGGAGGAATGCTGGGAAAAAGGCATGAAATAAAGATTTGGACTCTACAGTTCATATTAGTTTGGCTGCATAGTAGGGCAAATCTGTGCTCTATGTTTCTTATAGTGATGATTTTCATTATTCTGTTGCATGGACTAGTGAATTTTCCAGAGATAATTGTTGTGATTTTTAAACAGGTGATGATTCAACAGAGAAGAGAAGCAAACTTGTTCCTGACTTAAATGATCTTACCGGAGAAGGAAATATTGAAAGTATGCTTTCAGTTGAAATGGGATTAAAGGAGCTTGCTTCTTTAAAGGTTTTCTTCAAATATATGGGTGGTCTGCCCCCCTTCATGCTCCTCTGTTAAAGGAAAGTCAGTCATCTAAGTTTTTTTTTTTCTTTTTTGTAAAGGTTGAGGATGCTATTGTGCAAGCATTAGCCCAACAGCGGCGTCCAAATTCTGCTCGACAATTAGTCTCAGGTATGTGTTCTTACCGCTGTAATTGAATGGACTGAGAAAATTTCAGTGGAGGCAAGGCAACTAACCTCGATGAAGAGATGGTTGACTTTAGAAAATTTTCATCAGGAGACACGAATCATTTAAATGTGCTTGAATTTGGGTTGCCTCTCTATTTGCCTGATTGTTATACACAGTAAATCTGTCAGATTAAAACCATCTTTCTTACATACTAATAACATTTTGTACACTTTTGGCCATTGCCAGATATTAAATCACCCGGGGACCCTAAGTTTATGGAAGCCTTTGGTAAGTTACCTCCCACCTACTATTAGCTGAAATAGTTATACGTTGTCCCTTTTGTGCAAATTGCAAATGATAAGTTAAAGCTATGCTAAATATCTGTTTTATGTAGAATTGAGCCCAGAGGAGTCTGAGGATGTTCTTTTCAAGGAGGTATTCTGTTCTCTTACGACCTATCCATTCCGTATTATTACCACTTTGTCAGCTTCTTGACATGTCTATATATTTCATTTAGAAGGCATGCTTTTCTAGATTCTGGATTACATGGTTCTTTGATTTTAATTTTTGTAACATGTACTTTTTAACGATTTACATCATCCTATCCTCAACCTTTTCATAAACATTAGTTTGGATTTGTAACCAGTGAAGGTGACGTTTACTCTCGTGGTTCTCTCTGTCTGATTAGAAATGTGTGGTTTGTATTACTGAAACATGCCTTCTATGTGAATTTACTCTTCGTTGACAGGCTTGGCTGACATATTTTTGGAGAAGAGCCAAGGCTCATGGTATAGAGGAGGACACTGCCAAAGAACGCCTTCAATTTTGGATTGGTCGGAGTGGGCATTCACCTACCTCACATGATGCTGTTGATGGTAGCGTCTACCGTTTTTGCTTTAATTGATTACTTCGTAGCACGCCTGGATGCATCGATCCAGTATTATGCTAATTGGTTCAAAAGAAAAAATGTTCAATTATGGTGTCACCATTAACATATTTCTCGATTCGATGCTTTGCTAGTGATCACCTTTAATCATGGAAGACATAGTTTATTAACACTCCTTATGTGAAACGAGTCTCAGCTGGTAGACCTAGAGTCTAGAATTGGGTAAGAACGAGGTAGGGGGAGTCTTGTCATGTGATACATGGACACTTCAAAATGCATCCATTTGCTTGAAATTTTGATGTGTTGAAGTTCCCGGTTCTCCCTTTAGTGTTACTGTTCATGTCATCTATCATTTACCAATAACATAAATGGCTGTTCCTTCTTCCTCCTGCCTTCTGATTTCCATACCCATTTACTCCAGGGATGTTAAATTAATTTACACTCTGACTTTTTTCCTATTCCGCGTCTTCTCATAAAGCACTTGAAAGAAATGCTTTACATAATATTTTATTAGAGGAGAATGGAGGATAGGCAATTTTATAAACTTTTCTTGTTTGGTAAGTTTTTAGGAGGGGAGAGGAATGAAATGAAACAAAATTCCTTCCCTTCATCAATATTAGGGAATTTGGAAGGGAGTGGAAATATTTTAAAATATTTTTAATGTAATGTCTAAAATATCTTTATTAATGTTTTTAAATTTAAAATTTAAAATTATAAAGATTAAATTGATTTTTAAAATCTTTTCACTCCTTTTGAGAAAAGAGTTACCTCCCTCCCACTTCCCTTCATTAAAATCTCTACCATTCCCCCTTCTCCTTGAACCAAAGAAATCCTTAATTTTGCCTCCATTGAAAATGACTTAATAGTATTCTCGGAAAATATGCATTCAGTTACTTATGTGTATTTTTCAAATTCCAGTTGAGCAAGGACTTTCTGAGCTGAGGAAAATGGGGATTGAACATCGACTTTGGGAAGCATCCAGAAAGGAAGTTGATCATGACTTTACTGTCGCACGAAAGTTGTCTTGACCTGAAATTTGTGCTTAATTTCCTTGAGGTTTGTTGATTTATACATATGAATTGTGAATTTCATCTTCCTTCGGGAGACTGTCACCTTGCACTTTGTGTTCAAATGAGGTTACTCGCACTGTTAGCTCTAGGAGCTGATGAAGCTACCGCTCTCTTGTTCCTTCACCTTCGATGACATAAATAATAGTCATAACCTGGCCGATTATAATCATGGAGAATCTCACCACTAGGATGCATTTAACACATCGGAAGTTCGGTGATATGAATAACTTCTAAAAGTTATTTTGAAAAGGAAAATCAAGTGCTTGATATGCTTTTAAAAGTGATTATTATTATTATTATTATTATTATTTTACTAAAATAGTTATAACAGAATCTCATATTATTGATCAATTTTTTTCTTTTACTTGGAAAAGTCTCTAAAGTGCTTTTTTTTAAGGGAACAAACAAGGATGTGTCTTTTTTTTTTATATTTATTTATAAAATATGGAAAGCAAAAAGCAAATAAAGGAAAGATGAGTCAGATCTGACTAAGATTATACAAATAGGCATAGCATCTAACTCGACAAGATCATACAAATAGGTATAGAATCTAATTCGACAAGATATATGATGCTGAATATATACTTTAATTTATTTTAATTGCATTATTTAGTTTATATAATTTCACAATTTATAATAATTAGCACTATGTTTAGCAAGTAATTAATTTATCAGTTTCGCAGTTAAAATAAAAGGCAATCAATACAATTTCAATCAATTCAGTATTACATATATGTTTATGGTATGATTTTATGGTTTCATTTAAAAAATTGTGTTATATATTTTTGTGATTAGAAAAGGATTCAAAGTTTCTTTCAATTAAATAACTAAGTTTCTTTCAATTAAATAACTCGTTCAAAATTATAATTAATATATAATAATCATGTTTGTTGCTAATTGACTATAATTATGGAACAATCATTATCAAATTGATAATATAACATTACAATAAATTACCTGTTAAAATCAATTATTCTTTTAATTTTTCAATAATAAAATATCAGCTATTACTTGATTGTTATGAATTATAATAACGATAATTGAAGAATGTTTAGGATATGAGTAAAATATTTATGTCAAAATATTTTAATGTCTTTATTAACATATACCCTTAGCGTCGAAAACGCGTTTTAAGGTCAATTAAATTATGATTTCTTGGCGTGAAAAGTACTTTAAGATCTTCGGTCTTCACCAACATATACCCTTAGCATTGAAGACGGGTTTTAAGGTCGACTAAATTTTGATTTCTTAGCGTGAAGAGTGCTTTAAGGTCTTCACTAACATACACCCTTAGTATCGAAGACGCGTTTTAAGATCAACTAAATTTTGATTTCTTGGCCTGAAGAGCACTTTAAGGTCTTTACCAACATATACCTTTAGCATCAAAGACGCGTTTCAAGGTCGACTAAAATTTGAATCCTTGGCCTGAAGAACGCTTTAAGGTCTTTACCAACATACACCCTTAGCGTTGAAGATGTGTTTTAAGGTCGACTAAATTTCGATTTCTTAAGTGAATAACACTTTAAGGTCTTCATCAACATACACTCTTAACGTCAAATACGTGTTTTAAGGTCAACTAAATTCTAATTTCTTGACGTGAAAAATAATTTAAGGTCTTCATCATATCGGTGAATTTCTGGTGCCCTATTACCTTCTGAATTGGGTCAATACATTAGATGTGCTCATAATTTATAAGATGTTTGATACTGCAAAACAAAAATACTTGGTTAAAATCTAATCTTCCAATTTCATGAATTAATCTTCATGAAATCGGTTGTTAATTGACTATTCGACACGCACTAAAATCTTTATCTACCATGCATGAAATGCTATTTGGAAATCAAATTCACTTGATAATCAGTTGTTCAATAACAAGATTATCTTGTGAGCAATTACTAATTTGACAATGCAGAAACATGAATTCGGCATAACGAGTGAGACTCTTTGCACTCTAGTGCTCGAGCCTGGAGGGTTGTGTACCGTCTGACTCTTAAACTGGCTAAGCTGGCTAATTTGAGACTCTTCGCGCCCTTGACGTTCGAGTCTGGAGGGTTGTGTACCCTCCAGATTTCCAATTGACCGAATCAATTAAACAGGTCGAATTTAGGGTCACTCACAAATTTTCTAAAACTAATTAAAACAGTAATTTCCACGATTTTCATATTTAATTACGATTATTAATATGATTTATAGACTCATTATGATAAATAAAATCAAGGCTTATTTCAAGAGATTGAGATCGGAGAAAAAGATTTATATCCTTAATATAACACTCACGTATATAAAAGAAAAAGAGTTTTATTAAAAATAGGTTACACTCATTGAATATTTTAACTCAGGACGACTGCTTGATTCTGTTATAGTTCGTATCAGTAGGAGTTTTCTGACTAGTATCCTTTTACCGAAACAAGTGGGATTAGCGTTTTCCTAACACATAAATGTTCGCGGAGGATTGGCGTTCTCATTAGTTACTACCTCGGTTGCCAGTTGTATGTGTCCAGGTGCCTCACGGATGCAAAGGGACTGAACCGAGTAGTACACAAACCCCGTAAGTCATGAGCCAAGAAGGCGTAATGACTTGATTAGCCCACTCTCTTCGCCACCGATCGAGTGGTACAGGTCCATTAATCAAAATAAAATCGACACCATCAGCTCTTATACACGACTATATAGTAAGGTAAATCATCGACAAGAGTACAATACAAGACCATTTGCATGAATTTCACGGCTCTCAAACTCAAGTTTTCTTCGCTTTACTTGGTTTTCCGAATTTGATTTCCTCACAAAATCCTTAGAAAGAAGACCAAGGACAAAAGTCCTAGGTACAAAGCACAACACAGAGACAAAACCCTAATTTTATTTTACATCACACTGGAGGTTGCATTATCCCAAGTCTTGTAAACCATCATCATGGGAGGAGAGGAATACACTCTCTGTGTGAGTGTTGTGTTGCATATTGAAGTGAATCCTAGGTTTAAGTTCAATTCCTATCGTGACTAATTTGGTAATCTTTCTTATATTTAAAAAAAAATGTATAAAAACTCATTATCTATTCAATTTTCCTTCATCTTATTTTCTCTCTATCTCTGTTATGTTTATCTCATTAAGTCATTATCGACACATTTTCTCAATTAATATTTTATAATTAAAATTAATAATAAATTATACATACAAATAAATATTATATTTATATTTATATTTAAAATTTATATAAATAGATATTTATATATATATAAATTATATTTTAAATTTATGATAAATAATTTATATTGTAACATAATATTATTTTTATTTGTTAATAATTTATTTTAAAATTTTAATTAATAAATAATTGTGATAAATAAAAATTAAATTAAATAAAAAATTAAAAATTTTATAAAATGACTCTTATGTAAGATAAATTTTCGTATTTAATATATATTCTCTATTTATTTGTCTCTTATTTTTATCTCTATCCACTTTATTTTAGGCGGACAAATATTCATGCTCTAACTAAAATAATTGATTAAGATCCTAGAGGGAAAGATCTTGAACTAATATAAATTGATCTTTCTTTGCATTAATAAAAAATACTAAAATATATTTTAAATCTTTATAAATATGATTTTGCTTGATCTAGTCCTTAAAAATATATTATTTTAAGATTTTTGACATGTTTTTTATATTTTTTTTTACTTTTTATCATTAATTCTAATTAATTTAATGCTAACAAAACTAATAAAATAAAAATATTAATTGAGATAATTGGGATAAAAAATATTTTAAATTAAAATAATAAGATTGATTTAAAATATATAATATAATACATTAATTATTTTATATAAATAAAATAACAACATATAATTTAATTTTAAATTTTAAATATATTATGAAAAGTAATTTTATTGTTTTAATACTTTTTAATTTTCAATTCATTAACTTGCTTTTAAATTGTATTTGTTTAAAATTTATAATTTACTTAGACTTTTATAAAGTACTTTTAATATTATTTTTATATTTCAATTAATTAACTTTGACCTATCGTAATATATTTATTTTTTAATATATCACAAGTAGTCATTTTTTCTTTAAAGATAAAAAAATAGTATATTAAAAGTAAATTATAAATATCTAAGTAAAATATTTTTTTTTAAAATGTGCAAAATTAGAAACAAAGTGAGAACAATATTAAAACAATAAAAACTACTTTTTGCAATATATTATAATTAAAAATAAAAAATATATAATTGTTTTATGTATATAAAATAATAAACATATTACTTAATTGAATTATACACCTAAAACTAATCTAATTATTTAAATTTAAAATATTTTTTTGTTATCTTCAAATATATTTTTTATTTTTTTTATCATGAAAATGATAGATAAGAGGTGACACATCTATGATTACTAGATAGAGAACCAATGACATATTAAGGAAAACACTATTTTTCACTTAATAGTTAGCTGAAGCCTGATAATATCCTATTTAATTTAATACTTTATTTACCAAACTGAGAATTAATAGAGGTCCACCAAAAGAATTTCACCTATAATAATATTTTTGTATTTTATTAATTATGTTAGCACTAAATTAATTAGAGTTAATAATAAAGTCTAAAAAATAATTCTAATTTATTTTATTAGTCATGTTAACACTAAATTAATTAGAGTTAATAATAAAGTCTAAAATATAATTCTAAGAAAATGTCTAAGCCATGAACACCCCTACCTAAACTATCGGAACAAATAAAATATGAATTAATAATGAAAGGGACATCTAATAAAAGTGAATCTAAATATGAAATGTCATCCATACAAGCAGTACTTCCCAGGGAAAGACTCGTATAACCTCATTTAGATTTATATTTATATTAACAGTAAGAGAGAGAGCTGTAATCCAAATGTGTGTAAAATCCTAAAATGGCAGTAATAAACCACAAAAATATGGCATGTCCAGAAAGGAAAACAAACGGGGAACAAGTGTGGCAGTCATCTTCTAGAAGACATCCCGAGACAAATAACAGAAACCACTATTATCTACCGGACTTCAACTTCTATGTACACTGTATTTTGATTGCTCTTGCACTATAATTTATCAGCGATTCTCCCTAGAGCATCTGCAAGCTTATCAAGCACAGAAACCAAATTACTTGAATGGTCTTTCCGCTGCTCCCGATCCAACTGGAAATTTATATTCTGCGCTTCAAGTTGAGCGCTTAGCATCTTGCCATTTCTTTCTAAGACATCAATTAATTGATATTGCAATGTTTCCTCCTCTCCATCAGTTGCTAACCGCTTCCTTTTCCGCTCTCCTTGAGATGTAGAACCCATTTCTGGATTTGAAGTAGACTGTTTCTCGTTAGTCACACCTATAGAATGAAAGGAATGTTTAAACAAGTTAAATGTATAATTAAGCATCAGTTAAGTCCTCAATATTATCATTGTTCAACCAGCACCTTTGCTTTTAAGTCTATTATGAGAAGCTACAACCACAGCTAAAGCTCATAATCACTAATCAGAATACTAAGCTATTGACTCTTAGAATGATTTTATCAAAAAAAAATTCCATTTATGAATAACATGCTTTTGATTTTTGAAACATAAATAGTTAAAGAATTACTCATACCATGCGAGGTATCAGGTATGTACCGAATTTAGACCGTTCCAAAAAAAGGTTACAACAAACTTTAATATCCAATGACTCATGGAAGAGTGAGAGTGTGAGGATTTGTAAGTAGCATTACTTGTGTGAATATAGAAGTTGACATCATTTACTTATATGTAAGGAACTTTGATCTGATTCATATTGTACGGATGCAATATTCATAAACGAGCATTCAAATAATTTCTAGATCATTTTAAGTAAGCAATCACACGTTGGATGATTCTATGCTACCAATTCCCATAGACACTGATACAAAGTGAATACGAGTAAATGAAACTTAGCACAAGAAGATAATATAATGGCATTACTGAAGTTTCAAATGCAAAAACAGGAAACTGATGAAATGAGAAAACAATGGACTTTATTTTCAGGCTGCGGGAGGAATCAGAAGCAGCAACAGAAACAAAAGCATTGGTCTAAAAGGTAGCAAGGTATTTTAGCTATTGAACAAGAAGATATTGAACAAGGTAGCAAGCTGCCACAGATGGATTTTAGCTAATTCAAGGTCTAAAAGCTCCATGTTCACCATATTCTGGATCTGGAGATAAAGAAATGTCATTCAAGTAGCTTCCATATTTTTGGGCTAGCCATCTTGTCATCTTGTGCAGTTTAACTAACTAAAACAGGCATTAGCCATTATGTTTAGAGCCCACCACATCAAATTTGGTTAGGAGAGAAAGCAATCTTAAGAACAGCACATAGAAGCCAAATCAGATCAAATATGAAGGCCGTGTTTGGGAAAATGTTTCAATAAGTACTAATATGAGAAAAAAATAGAAAGCAAAATGAGTTAAACTTCTTCTACAAGTTTAAATCAACTTATGCCCCTTAGTTTTTAGAAAAGTTAGATGAGACAGCTTCTATAAAAAAATAAAGTGTGAAGTTGATAGTAACTTAAGAAAAAAGTTTAATATATTTTACCTTTTTTATTTTCTTTTCCTATAAATGTCTAATTGAAAATTTTCTCCGAACTGGGCAGAAGTTTAATTAATCGTAATGTTATAACTAAATATTGCTAACTATATCATTCGAGTCTTAACTCTTTTAAGACAATACACGAGATGTTCAATAAATTATGACAGACATTATGAACTCAGCAAATTTGCCAAATCAATATTCTCATTTCAAAATGACTCAATTGCACTTGTGATTCTCATACTTTTAATCTGTGTAATTTTGGTTCCCCTAAATTTAATTGCTCACGTTTAGTCCTCGTAGTTTTAATAGTTCAAATTAAACCCCTCCCTTCAAAATTTCATTCAAAAATTAACCGAAATGTAATAAAGGTGTAACATCATTAATTTGAATAAATTAGCAAATGAAAAGATGCATAAAATATTTAAATAGAAAATAAAATGTAACAAAAACCATTTTTCGTTTTCTTATTGTTATAGAAATATTTTATATATCTTTTCCTTACAAATTAATGTTAAGTGAATGACCAATTTAGTCATCAAATTGGTCTTAAAATTAACAAAATAGCAAAATGTTCTCTAAAATTGTAAATCATCAATCAATTCAGTCTCTTCATTATTAGAATCTAAAAGAGCTTTTGTGATTGCCAACTTGGTGGAGTAATGATCAATTTTCCCCTTCCCTACATATTTATTCTTTTTCCGTCCATTAATTTTGCATTAGTTTTCTGATTTTCCATTGAGAAAATATCATCAAAGCAACCCCTAAACCAAGTCCAAGTTGTGTAACATGCAGGATTAAACAAAGGACTTAAGTTTTTAACTATGCTAGATGACTAATGACATCAAGCGGAAGGATTAAATTTATTGATAATTTACAATTTCAGGGACTATTTTGTCATTATATATATTTTTTATTTTTGATTCATCGGAATCAAGCTCTGACTCTAAAGCAGGGATTGACAACAACTTAGACACCCTATTTAACCAACTAAGCAAGACCCTTTTGGTTAGGACTAATTTGATCGATCTTTAGAATTTCATGCACTAAAGTTGATGGTTTAGATTTCTGTTAATTATTGAATGAAGTTTTAGGTTGAAAGGGATTTAATTTGATGAATTCGAAAGTAGGAGGAGAGGTGTTAAAAGTAGGGATGATTGGTAGAGTTAAGGCTTTGGATTTGAACATTTGCTAAATGAATCTGAAACAATGACAAAAATGTGATAAAGAGGAGTGTGGCATTATATTGAGCATTACCTTCAGCCTGGCATCCGCGGAGGAGTGGTTGATATTGTTTCTCTGGAAATGAGAAGAAAACATGAAGGGAAAGGAAATGAGTATTCAGAGCAAGGAGTGGAAGTTGTGATGAGTGCAGAAAAGGCAAATAAAAAACCTGAGATAGGGATGGGAGCAGGAATGGAGGGCGTTAAAATG